CCCAGATCTTGTGCTGAAAAGTCATGGACCTGCGGCTAGAGACCCCACAAGCTGGGTGAGGGTGGGGATGGGCTACAGGGAGGACAGAAGGACTTTGCTGGGGGTGGGTGGTCCCACACATTGCACACAGGCACATACTATCACGAGCCTCAGAGCCACGCGCCCCCTGCCTCACCAGCAAACTCTGCCTAAAACCCTGTCCCCTGCCATCTCTCTCTCCTCAGCCCCGAAGACCCCAGATGGGAGAGTGCGAACCTGCTCCCAGCCCTGAGTTGGAGGGACCCAGCGTGGACCTCTCTCCAGTCATTCCTCTGTGGACCGCCACCGGGCTCAGGGTCCCTGTGAGCTCGCCGCAGGCACAAGACGACCACGGTCTCTTCCCCGGGTTGTGGGAAGGGGCCGGGTTACTTATCACACACATCCATCGCTCTGCTAGCTGAGAAGGGGCCTGAGCCTTTGACCCACGTGTCCTGGGGTCAAGAACACTGCGGTCCGCGGAGGGGAGTGTGGTCGGGGCTGGCTCCCAAGGCCGGGACACTCAACCACTGCCAGGGCCATCCGGCTCCACTTCTGGAATTCCCAGGTCTCTGGATACCGTGCCGCCGCCTCCCGGGAATAGCGGCCCCCAACCCGGGCCATGGCTTGGGGTGGCTCTGGTCCAGTCCGGCTGCCTTCCCTGGATCTGAGGGTCGCCAGGACCAATGGCACCCCGGCAGCGTGGGACGGGCCTGGGCGCTCCCGCAGGGCGGAATCGCGGATCCGTGCAGCTCCGCGTCCGCGCCTTCATGCTCCATCCCTGCCCAAGATCCTCCCCTCCAGCCGGGCTGTAAACTGGGAGGGGGCTCTGCCGCTCGGCTTTGGTCAGAAGGACAGCGGGACAGCCAGAGGGAGGATGGACAGGGCTCCACTGCGGGGAGCGGGATCACAGGACTGTGTTCGTAGGAGGCTGGTAGTTCAGGTGCGGGGTGCCAGGCCCTAAGGAGAGGAGCAAGGGGGGACAGGGAATGGCTTAGTGGAGATGGGGTATCTGCGGGATTGGGGGAGCTGAGACCCCCGCCCTAGAGCTTTCCTCTCCGATCTTGCTTCTTCCCAAGCGATTCCAAACAGCCGACTCCATCCATCCCCAGGTGGAGAAAATTGGAAGCTGTTTCTGCCGCTGAAGTCCGAGCCAGAGAAAATCCCGGGTCGGAGGCAGCGCCCAGGCTCGAGCCGCCGGCGGAGTCGTGGGTCCAGGGTCGCCAGGGGAAATTGGTGGGTACCAGATCGCACCCGCCCCTGCCGGGCGCAGCAAGGTGCCGCTCGCCGCCTACCGGGAGTACCTGAGTCGGGGTCTAGGCCCCCGCCTTCGGTCCAGGCGGCCACTTCTTCAGCAGTTCAGCTCCTGCGGTTGTGCTGGGGAGAGACCTGGGGCCTCTGTGTGTCTGTATGCGAAGGAGCCGGGATCACCGAGGGACCCGGGGAAGGGGGACAAAGGGCAAGGAACAGGACCTATACGGTGATCAGGAGGACAGGGACGAACGGACAGTGAGCGGGGAGGACCTGGAGAGGGGACCTCAGGTTTGTAGACTGAACAGCCCCACTCCCAGACCCGCACCTGGGTTGGGCCCCGCATGTCAGCAGCCACCAGCGGCTCTGAGCACCACCCTTGGCTCTCCCGATGTGGGCCCTGGTGGTGTGGGCTGTGACGCAGGCAGGAGCACGGGGAGATGTGCCAAGATCCTGTGCACCCCAGGACAGACCAGCCATGGCACCCAAGCCCGCCCTGGGCACGTCCTCCTACGCTGAGACGCAGCCTTTGGGCAGTCCGAGTTTGGGGCACAGTCCACGGCCCCAGCTTGGCTCTGGACGCCAGCCAGAGGTCAGAGAAGCTTAGGAGGTCTGGCCACAGGGACCCCCATTCAGCCTAAGGAGGGAAATGTGGAAAGGAAGAGGCCGGGCACGGGGAAGGCGGAGAGTGGGAGACAGAGGGAGAAGGGTGGAAGGCTGCACTAGGAGCCTGGGTCCGGAGTGGGTCTGCTGGGCCTTTGACGGCAGAGGATTCCTTAGTGCTCTCTGAAGGAGAAGGCAAGAGACTGGGCTTAGAACCAGGACCCTCTCGCCCACAGGCAGTTGCCCGACAGCAGGTGCAGGGACGCAGCGCGGCCAGCAGAGGGCAGAAGGCACCCGGTCGGTCCGCCAACCGTGCGCCCGGCTCTGCGCCTCTCGGCTCCGCGCGCCCGAGCCTGGCCCGCTGGCTGCTCCCGGCAGCTGCCGCGCCCCCGCCCCAGATGCCCGGAGAAGGCGGCCCAGGCCCAGGCCCAACCTCGGGAGCTCGAGGCCTGGGGTTTCCGGGCTGGGCAAGGACAGGGGACCAAGGGCATGTGAGAGAAACTCCACATCCACTCATCCAGCGTCCTGGATCCAGACACACAAAGACGCTGAGAAATACAAGGAGACACAAAGCCAAAAAAAAAAAAAAAAAAGACCCAAAAAACCCCCACAAAACCCCAAAACCCCAAACTCTGAGAGACTCGCAAATACACAGAATCATTCAGAAACTCAGAGATACACACGGACACACAAAGGTGACACGAAGACACACATATAAACAAAAAAGAATCCCAGACACATTACAGAGGCTGACACACAAAGACGTCCCACCCGCATAGAGTGACAGACACAGGGACACAAAGACCTACAAAAACACAGAAGATACGGAGACACGGAAAGACCTGCAGATTCACACTCAGACACACACACAACGAAGCAGGGGAATCAGACACGGATTGCCACACTCGGAGCCGAGAAAGTCGCAGGGACACAGAAATACTGCATGCGCACAGAGACACGGGTGCACAGACAGCAAGCTCCTCCGAGGCGGGAGCATGGACACGCACAGCGCACACAGATACCCACCGACACACACGCAGGTACCGGGGTGGGGCGGCAGCCTCTAATCCTCCACAAAGCCGGGCCCCTCCGCGGGGCCCCGCGGCACAGGGGGTCACTTCTGACCAAGCCGCCCGCAGGCTCCAAATCCGATCCGCCCTCTCGCCTCCAGCGGGGTCAGGGGACCCGCCTCCCATGCCCTCCGCCCCCGCCCCGCTCCGCGCCGCTGCTCTGCTCCGGGAGGGGCCGGGGCCGCTCCGCAGCGGCTCGAGGGGTCAGCCCGCGCCTGCCCCGGGGCCGCATCGGCCCCCCTGCTCCCGGGCGAGCCGCGCCTCCGTGGGGACCCAGGGGTCCAAGACACAGCCGGCCGGGCTCAGCGCACTGCAGCCGGACGCAGCGGCCTCCGCAGCGAGCGCGGGTGCCAGGCCCGGTGGATGCCAGGCCCGGCGAGTGCCCGAGTCAGCCACTCGGTCTTGCCGGCTTTTCGCTCCCCAGGGCCGAGGACCACTTTGCCCAGGCTGGCCAGGGCGCTGTCCCTGCCAAGCGTGGCCTACGGACCCCTGGCCGGGTCCCTCCGCCACCAAAGGTCGCCTATGCCAGCCGCCAATCCGGTTTCCCTCGAGCGGCCGGCGGAACACACGTCGTGCTGGGCCTTCCGTCCCCGACCCTGGAGCCACCCCTACCGGCGCCCCTCGCTCCAAACCCTGCGAGGCCAGGTTCTGGTCCATTGCCCCCACTCCCGCCGGGGGCCCTCTTTCCCAGACGTAATCGTCCTCTAAACTCTCCGTCGCCTGAACCTGGGCCTCACCTTCCTCGCCTGCCCAATGTCCCCCATCCTTGATCCCGGGGCCCCTCCGGGATCTTCGCTCACCCTTGCATCCCATCTCTGCCACGTCTGAAGCTTTCCCGGGTCCCTCACTGCAAATCTGGGGCCCAACCTCCCTCTCCCTGAGCCAGGGACCCCTTGGCGAGTCCTGAGCCAGCAACCCTTCCCTCCTGCCGTTGCCCGTCCCTCGACCCCCGCAGCCAGCCCTCTCCTCGGACCAAACCGGCCCCGGCATGGCGCCGCCGCCCGGGGAACGCCAACTCAGCCCGGTGTGACCTACCTCGGCCGACAGTCGGGGTCCCCGGGCGGCCACTCACGGCCGGCGCCGTCCCCTGGTGGAGCCGCTGTGCTCGCCGCCGTCCGCGCAGTCTGGTCTCGCTCGGGGCCACTCCTCTTACTGCCGAAGCTTTACAAAATATTAATAATAAAGAAGGCAAGAAAGCAAAGAAGGAAGCTTGCTTTCCCCAACTCCCAAATCAATTTTTCAAAGGAGTGGGGCAGAAGGATTTGTTTCGAAGGCGACCCAACCTTCTGCGAGGGGCCAGCAGGGCGCTCGGCCTGGCCGGGACGCCCGGACCGGCGCGCGGGGCCAGGCGCGGCGCGGGGCGCAGGCTGGGGGCGCGGGGAGCCCTCCCGCGCGGGGGGGGCGGCGACGGCACTATTTGACGTGGAGCCGCCGGCTCATCCCGGCGCAGGGATACGAGGCGCACCAATGAGTTCAAATGTCAGGAAGTTTGAGGAGGGGTGAGGCGGCTCCCGGGCGCAGTATCCCTCCGCCGCCAGCCCCAGCTCTAAACCCAGCGGCTCCGCGGGCGCACCATGGCACTGGAGTAGTGCGGGGAGCGCGCCCGGAGCCCCGCGGCCCGCTGCGCCCCGCCCGGGACCCCGCTGCGCCGCCCGCGCCCCCCCAGCCCGCGGGGCCGCCCCTGCACCCCCGCCCCCTCCCCCGCCCGCCGCCGCCGCCACCGCCGCCGTCTCCTCCCCGCGGCTCCGTCTGCCGCCGCCGCCGCAGCCCGGCTCCGGGACTGACAAGCAGGTGACAGAGGAGCCGGCGCGCGTGGCTGCGAGTGCCCGGGGGAGCGCGGCGCGGACTGCAGCCGCCCCGGCCCGCCCGCACGACGCCGGGGCCCGGGGCCAGCGCGTTGCCGCTCCGCGCTCGCCGGGGGCAGTCGGCGGCCCCAGCCGCAGCCCCAACTCCGCGGGGGCCGCGCCTCCCCGGCTCCCGGGCCCCGGCGGCGGCGAGCGGGCAGGCGGGCGGGCGGGCGAGCACCCTGGCTGGCGGGGCCCGAAGCGCGCCCCGCGTCCCATGGATATAGCAACAGGTCCCGAGTCGCTGGAGAGGTGTTTCCCCCGCGGGCAGACGGACTGCGCCAAGATGTTGGACGGCATCAAGATGGAGGAGCACGCCCTGCGCCCCGGGCCCGCCACTCTGGGGGTGCTGCTAGGTGAGTGCGGGGTCGCCGCGCCCGAGTGATCACGGGCAGGGGACGGGGCCTTGTCCCAGGTGGACACAGGCGTCCAGGCCAATGGATAAAGGAGATGGTTTGCAGGACATGGGGGTGTGGGGGACACAGAGAAGACTCCTGGAGTGATCTTCAGAGGGGCGACAGGCACGCCTAGACAGGCATCCTAAGGGGACAGAGGTATGCAGGGACATCACCTAGGAGGAGGGAGAACAGGACTCGCCAGCCGCCTCCCTCCATCCTCACCGGGCCTCGGTTCTAGAGCTGCCACTCCGGGCAGGAGGTGGGAGGCGGGTGGCAGGGGTGATGGAGGACCCAATAGTCACCTTGGCAGGCTCGGGAATGGCGCCAGGTCACTTGGGGAGGGGGAGCTTTTAAGAAAAAGATGCCCCCTGGGTCACCCAAACCACAGGTTTTGGGGAGATTGGGGACAGAAGACGCCGTGGGGCGTGTCAGCCAGCGAGCGCCTCAGCCTCCCCTCGCCTGTCTGGGTCCCAGCCGGCTCCCCCGCGCCGTGCTCGTTCTCGTATTTATTACCACCAAGCGCCGGATCTCCGGAGAAGGGGAGAGCGCAGCGCCGAGCCGAGGCTCGAGGCCCGCGGCCTCTCCGCGCCGGAGTCCGGGGACTGGGACGAACTAGCGGAGGCTGCCCGGCCCCTGGCGCGGCGGCCGGGGGAGCGCAGGCGGCGGGCGGCGCTCCCGGGCTGCCCTCGCCCTTGGCCGGGGCTGCGGGCACCGCTGCAGCCGGGACGCTGGGGCCGTGCTGGTCGGCGCTGACGGCCCGGCTCTCGCCCTGTGCGCTGCAGGCTCCGACTGCCCGCATCCCGCCGTCTGCGAGGGCTGCCAGCGGCCCATCTCCGACCGCTTCCTGATGCGAGTCAACGAGTCGTCCTGGCACGAGGAGTGTTTGCAGTGCGCGGCGTGTCAGCAAGCCCTCACCACCAGCTGCTACTTCCGGGATCGGAAACTGTACTGCAAACAAGACTACCAACAGTAAGCCCTCTCGTCCTGCTCCTTCCCCGCCGCCGCCGGCACTCGAGCCCGGCCGACCCCTGCCAGGCCGGGGCCGCGTCCGCCCTACAGCCGGCTCTGCGCGCCGCTGGGCCCATCCGCTCCGAGGGCTCCGCGGGCTGCGCGTCTCTCCGGCAGGGCCGAACCATCCCATCCCGGCCGACCCTGGTGGCCGGGAGTCTCCGGCAGCCCCTCGTTGCCATCCTTTGTCCGGGAAACCTGCTCTGGGCCATTGAGTCGGGGCGTGGGACAAGGCCGGGGGCCGACTGGGGGATATGATGCCGTGGTCCTGGGACAGGGCCTGGCCCCGCTGAGGCCTGAATTGGGGACCAACAATTGATTTCCAAACGAAAGCAGCGCTTTAGGGAGCCAGGCCCTGGCGGTGTGCTTCCTCAGCCCAAAGGCGGGCTTTGTGGAGGGGTTGGAATTCCAGGAGCAGGGCGGTGGAGTGGGGGTGGTGCTGGCCTGGGATGCCCCTGTCCTGCCAGGGTCCCTGCTGCACTTTTAGGCTCTGATGCAGAGAAAGGAGTGTCCATTCTCTCCAAAGCGTTCCATGCGGGAATTTTGCACTTTTGATTTTCGTTGGCTGGAGAAGCTGTCTAGGAAGAGGACCTGAAGAAGTGGCAAACCACAGTCTGGGGCTCCCCAAGGGGGTGAGGAACTGACCGAGTCAGCCTTCCCCAGCAGGCCTTCTTTCTTGCAGTGTGTCTGTGTTGGGGAGGGGTGGCTGCCCTGCCCTGGTGTAGCCCAAGCGTTGGAGTCCGGGCCAGAGACGGTGGGGTGAGCCCTACTTGCTGACTTGTTTTGAGCTGAGAGTATGGGTTTGTCTGGCAAGCGGCCCGGGACAGATAAGAGCAGATGCAGGCTTTTTCTTTTGACCCTCTGGGTTTTATGCCTGGTAGTGTGATTGAGAGAAGCAACAGCCGAAAGAGGGGTGTGGGGATCCCCAGGGCAGCATTGTGTAGACAAGTGGGTGCCTGCGAGAACTTTCTAGTGAGGCCCCGAAAACCCTTTCAGATGGGGCTGCAGGGTGGGTAGGCTGCTCAGGCGGTTTGGGGCTTGGAGGGAGCCGTGTGCCCAAGTCTCCGGGAAAAGGCAAGGCTGCGGGTGCCTGGTGGGAAGGGCAGTCTGCTTGCTCTGCCCGGGGATTGTCCCTAAATCCAGGCCCTGGTGGGCAGTGGAGCAGCTGGAGTGTCCCTTCCCCACCTCTCCAACTGCTTGGCTGAGGCCTGGAAATAGAGGGACTGCCGGCCAGAGCCCTCGAGAGGGCAACGGTTCGACTCTGAAAGGCTCTGGCTGAGCCCCATGCTAGCTCCTAACCTGGCTGTTGCTCCCCTGGTCTGGGAACTGTGCAGGAGCTGCATTTTTGCGCCTTGCTCTTCCCGCTGGCTGGGGGCTTTGCGGGCAGGAATCGGGGCCGGTACAGAGAGTCAGCTCTGTTGCTGGTCCCAGAGCCCAGCTGAAGCCTCCCGCTCTCCCCAGAGCACCCTAGATGAGGCACACTCCTGTTGATCAGGTTTGTGCTGCGCCCTGGACTGATAATGATTCTGGTTCCAGGAGAAGGTGAGGCAGCCAGTCAGCTCAGCCACAGGCAGGCAGGAGCAGCCCAGAAGAAGCGGAGAAAGTAGTTTGAGGTCGCTGTGGCTGGGGGCTCTGGGCCGGTCCAGGGAGCGGCCCCTCAGCAGGGCTCACCAGCCTCTAGCCAGAGTCCTGGTCTGCACCCCTGGCCTCCTCTGCCTGCCCCACCTGAGCTCGGCTCCGGCAATGCCATTTCCCACTCAGCTCAGCCACTGGCCTGGACAACTCAACACGTGGGGGCAGAAGGCCCAGGAAGCTGGAAATGGGCCTCCGAGTCAGTTGCACAGGTTTTTGATAAAAAAATTTTTTTTTTACATATTGGAAGACTCTTTCCAACCTTTTGTACATATCTACCGGTTCTCTCCCTCTGCCCCCCAATCGTTTATGGGGCTTCTCTTTAAAACAAGGAGAGGATGCTCCCTGGTTCTTCAGAGCCCAGAACTGTAAGGTCACAAAATTTGAGCTGGGTGTTCATTAGAGCTGAGCGGCCAACCCCATCATTTTACAAAACAATTAAACATTAAATGGTTGCAATTGTTTCGTAGAAAGTATATTTGCTTAAAAAAGAAAAAAGGCGCCTAAGAGCTTTTTTTCTTCGCTGCGTGCGCGGTAGGGGTGTGTTTGCTGGTGAATTTGGGATCAGGGCGCATCTCAGGTCCCGAGTCCGGGAGTCTGGGTCCTGCGGGGTGCAGCCTCCAGGCCGGCATTATTCATACCCCTCTAGGTCCCTCCCCCTCCCTCGCCCCCTCTTTCTTCCAATAAGGCCGGTTAGGTATCTGCGCTAGGCGGGCCGGTTGGGGGCTGAGGAGGGGTTGTTATCAAGACAATCCTGGCGACAGATACCCCGCGGGTCTCGCCTCAGCGTTTCTCTGCGAGAGCCAGCGCAGCGAGGCAGGAAGGGGCCGGGGAAGCGATGTTCTTTGCACGAAAATATATTTCATGACTTATTTTTTGCTTTGAGCACTGCGGATGCATATTTATTACATCTGTATGTAAATGCTTTTCAGACGAGAATCCAGGCAAGTGAGCTCAGAAACGTGCCTTCTCGATCTTGTCGAGTCTGTGCGTCAGCAGGATTGGGAAATTAACAACCCCCCCCCCCCCAGCCCCGTAACTTTTGAAAAATGTGTCCTCGCCCGGCGAGGGGCTGCGGGGCTGGGTCCTTAGAAAAGAGGTTGCTATTTTTATTAAGCGTCTCTTTCTCCTTGAGATTTGTTTTAAAGATCTGGGACACTCAGAAGCGCAACGTTATTCTACGCACCACGGGGGTGATTAATGGACATTCGGGCGCTTTTAATAGCATTAGATAAAACCCACCCGCACGTCCCGGACGCTCGAAGCAGGCCGGGGGCCACGGCATTTGGGGCGTGTTCACGCGTCACTCAAAAAGTCTCCTTTTTCTCCGTACGTGGTTTTTGGGGCTCCTTCTGAAAAAAAAAATAAGATGAAAGCATCGGATCCTTCTCCTGTGCACGAGGCTCTTGGCACCTCGGCAGCTTGAGCTCCTTCTCGGACCGAAAACCCGGTTAGAAACCGGGAGGAAACGCGGCCTCCAAACGCAAAATCACGAACACCTCTCCTTCCGCCACCGGAGAACACATGAAAAAACAAAATGACAACTTACCGCCCCCCCCCCCAATTTTTTTTTCTTGGCGGCTAGGCCAAATAGAATTATGTAACTCTCTTTTCTTGCCGTCTGTCGCTCGTCTGGAAAGGGTTTCTATCCCGAGGAGGTGGCGAATTCCTGGAGGAGGCTCCGGAAGGGGGGAGGGTCGGTGGGAGAGTCCAAAAATCTGTCACAAAATGGAGTCTAATCGCTTGTAAGACAGCTCGCAGGTCTCGCGACCCGAGACTCGCGGGTGTGCGAGCGGGAGCGGCGCGCGCGGAGGGACGCGGGGTCCTGCCCGGGCCGCGGTCGCCCTTGCGCGCGGGGAGTGCCCGGGGCGGCGTCGCGTCGCCGCTGCAGCTGTAGAGGTCCAGGGCTCCGCTGAGCCTGCGAGGGTCCCCTCGGGCTCGCCTGCCCAGGTAGGATGCGCCCACCTCGGCAGAAGGGGCCAGCGAGGCTTTGATTGAGTTTCACAAAAAGCCGTCTGAGTCCTGGGGTGCTTTTTTTTTTTTTTTAAATTTACCCCAGCTGGCTGCGGCTCCAGTGGCTCAGCCCGGCTCTTCCCAGCACATTCCTTTCCTTGGAAGTGTTTACACCGGGAAAGGCCTTCCGGGGAGGCTCACCTCTCTTGGAGCAGCAGCACCAGCGGAGTGCGGGTGTGGCGCAGGGGGAGAGCAAAGTCAGGCTCCAGGCTCCTCTGCTGGCTGCTTCTCCCAGCTTGGGAGGCCTCGCATAGGCCTTACCACAGTGTGCCAGTTACCAGCAGCACCCCCTCCACCAGTGGGCACCCCAGCTGACATGTCCCCCAAGGGACTAATTCAGGGCTGCAGGCACCCCTGCCCACAGCCCCGGGCAGAGGGCCTGTCCTGAGAAGGACCTGTTTGGAAGGAAGAACCAGCCCTTTGCCTTGTCAAAAGGCCTTGGTGGCGCTCTCCCTGGGGATCTCAGGGCTGAAGGGCTCACTCTGCCAAACAGAGTTAGGGGACCCTCTAGCTCCTGGGAGGGCACCTCGCCCTTGACCCCCAGAGCGTTGGCTGTGGGGTTAGCTAGGGCTGGCCTGAGGCTGCTGCTGTCTGCTGCTGAGGGGCGGCATTCTTCACAGCTGACTCCTGGCTCACCCGGTATTCCCCAGGCTCCGGGCTGGTATAGGCTAATTTGCTGAATCTTTCTCCAGTAGGGGAAGTGGGCTATGAGGATCTCCTCTGGGGTATGTGACTGGTGACTCTCCGCTCCCTCCCGTCCTGTCCATTGGAGCCAGGCTCAGGACCACACAGCCCTGGCACCTCTTCTGTAAAATGGGGACATACCCACCTGGGGGAAAGTACTTTTAGAAGGATTCCGAGATAGCATGCCCCAAAGGACCTGGCATCTTGCCTGGCATGTTGTTAATACTCTGGAAATTATCATTGTTACTGTTATCACCATCAGCATGGCAAGGAATGCCTTGTCTCCAAGGACACACACCAGACTGCCCATAGGTTCCGTGCCAGAGAGAGCTGCAGCTGGCATGCTAGTTTGCCGTGAGCCTCTCTCTACAGGGAAGATGAGGGCCCGCCCCCTCCCCTCCCCCCCCCAGGGAAAACTGTTCCCTTTGCCTGAGTGGGCACTGGGAGGGTCCTGCCTCCCTCGGGGTGAAAAGAGCTTTAGATTCTGAGACAGACCTGGGTTCATCTCCCAGCCTCGGCGCTCAGCAGCAGCTGTGTGGTCTTAGCCAAGTGGCTGATCATCTCTGAGCCCCAGGTTCTCCATCGGCAAACTGGGGGTGATGGTATCATTTCCCAGGCTTGTTGTGAGGATT